GCTACTCAGGAGGTTGATGTGGGAGGATCACTTGAGCCCAGGAGGTTGAGGCTGTAGTGAGCTGTGATGGCACCACTGTACTCCAGCCTTGGCAACAGAGTGACGCTATGTCTTTTTTTTTTTTGAGACAGAGTCTTGCTCTGTTGCCAGGCACCAGGCTGGAGTGCAGTGGCATGATCTTGGTTGATTGCAACCTCTGCCTCCTGGGTTCAAGCAATTCTCCTGCCTCAGCCCGCCGAGTAGCTGGAACTACAGGCGTGCACCACCATGCCCAACTAATTTTTATATTTTTAGTAGAGACAGGGTTTGACCATGTTGGCCAGGATGGTCTTGATCTCTTGACCTCGTGATCAGCCCTCCTCGGCCTCCCAAAGTGCTGGGATTACAGGTGTGAGTCGCCGTGCTTGGGGAGACTATGTCTTAAATAAGTAAGTAAATAAACAAACAAAAATTAAAAAGAATCCAGGCCAGAGTCATTTGAAGGCAAGAAGAAAAGATGCCAGAATCAGAGATGGGGAGATGGGCTTCTTCCACCTGGTGAGGTTGAGAAATGAGACAGATAGGCTGGGTCGGGGGATGGAGAGAGGATGGGCGGAGAGACTGAGGCTGGTCTGAATGGAAATGGAATGTAGCGCTCTCACAGTTATCAGGGGATGATTGGAGCTTCTAGAAGAGGTTTAGCCTTGTGACCACCTGTGTTCATCAGGCCTCCCCCACCCCTAACTAATTGTGTGAATCTGGGGAGACTTTGAGTCTCAGTGTTCTCCTCTGTGAAGTGGGGTCAGCTGGTTCTAACTTCCTGGGATTGTTGTGTGAATTAAATGGGGTAATATACGGAGAGCACCTGATGCACAGCAGGTGCTTAGAAATTTCAGTCTGCACCCCTCCAGCCAAGGATATGCACACACCCATTGTGAATTGCAAATCCAGAATGGCCCGAACCCAATGTGATAACGTGGGCCCTCACATGCTGGTCATGCTGTCAGGAGACACTTGTGGATCCAATTAGTAAAACAGGGGAAATAAATCATTAAATGCAGTTTGCTAAGAGAGAATACTTCAGAATTTCTTTTGTGGGGCAGAGGCATAACAAAGGGGATCCTTTTGCTGAAAATGTTTAAGCTCAGGTTTGTGGCACCACGCAGCTGAGGTCGATGGTCACACAGCGAGCAAGAGGCAATGTCAGGACTTAAACTAGACCTGTGGCCCCCACAGTGAGGCCATTTCTCTTTCCCCTGGGGAAGGGGGTGGGTGGTGTAAGGTTTATTGCTGAGTTTAAAATGAGGAAACTGAGGCCAGTATAAGAAAATGAAAATCCAGTTTATTCAGGTCCCGGGGAAGGGGCCAGGGAAGTCGCGCCAACTTCCTGGGGCGTGGGGTTTTTATGGCTAGAAGGAATGAGCAACAGCTGGGTGCTCTGATTAACTCCAGGGGAGCGGGATTGAGACGGGGCACATTGCTGTTGGTTAGCGGGTTGTTGGGCGGGTTTTCTGGTGGGAGAGCCGGCCAGGAGCCTTGCATCAGCTGGAGCCTTCCAGGGGAGCCATGTGGCAGAGCTAGGTGCCAAGTGCAGAGCCTGGTGCCGGGTGCAGAGGGGGTGTGTCCAACCTCCCGGTGAGGCAACTGGCCTTACAGGTGGGCAGAACTTGGCAGTGGCCAGTCCCTCACTTCTTTTTGCTATTTATTTATTTTTTAAGATGGGGTTTCACCATGTTGGCCAGGCTGGTCTTGAACTCCTGACCTCAGGTGATCCACCCACCTCGGGCTCCCAAAGTGCTAGGATTATAGGCGTGAGCCACCACACCTGGCCCAGTCCCTCACTTCTGACACCTGATTTCGTCCTGCCCCTATCTCTAGGCTTGCATTGATTGATGGATTGGTTGAGACAGGGTCTTGCTCTGTTGTCCAGGCTGGAGTGCAGTGGCACGATCATGGCTCACTGCAGCCTCAAACCCTTAGGCTCAAATGGTCCTCCCGCCTCCTGTCTCCCAAGTAACTATATCCCCAGGCTTTTAAAATGGCTTCCAGGTACCTGGCTGCCATCTCAGACATCCACCTGGGCTTCTGGGTAGGGACTGTCCCGGAAACCATATCTATGTGAGGCAGGTGTGAGTGTAGGAAGGCCCTTTGTAAATGAATAAGCACTGCCTCCTCCTGTGTGAGTCCCAGCGGGGTTTGGGAGGGCCTGGCAGTCTAGAGGAAGGGAGGACGACCAGAGGCTGGCGCTGCAGTGGCACGCCTCAACCACCAGAGGGCATGAAGCAGCCGGGCAAAACCCACGGGACCGCTGGTGGAAAATTTCTGGCACCTGGAGCCCGGAGAGGGGGTGGATGGAATGTGAGGACCCAGCTTCCTTAGGCTGGGCCTGGGCAGAGTCACTGCCTTGGATGTCCACAGGGTCTGCCTGTGTCCTGACTCTTCTGCCTCTGTAGGCAGCTGGAGAATGTCAGAGTGGGATTGGGATCGGACTGTAGGGGCCATTCCATACAACTCTCCTGTCCTGCTGTGGAATTGCTCAAGGGTACACAGTACATTAGTGGTAAATGAATATGATGATCACCAATCTTGGGAATAAGGCCATTTGATGGACGCATCGGCGGCCTTAATTCCTGGACAGAGACATCTGATTAGGACGGGCCTCCAGGAGCTGACCCTGGTGACCCTCGGCTCTGCTGCTGTCTCTCTTTTCCTCCCTGGCTTTTCCATCTGACTGCCTGTTTGTCTGCTCCTGTCTCTGTCTCTGCCCACTGGGGGGTTTGCCTGGCTCCTCACTGGGTCCTGGGAGCCGCGTTTCCTGCTGTCACTCCGCAGGGATTTGCAGCTCTCTGGCGATGTTTTCCGACCCAGCGTCTCCGTTCCACTCTTGGGATCCACAGGAGAGGTGCTTATTTTGTAGCATAATCAGTGGTGTGATTTCAGGGGGTGAGAGGGACTCCCTGGCTCCTAAGCACTCCTCCAGTGCCCCTGTTGCCATGCGGTTGCTGTAAACACTGGTTGGCACCTGGTGTGGGCAAGACCCTTACCTCATGCAGAAATGAGTAAGACTGATGAGCTCACCATGTGGGGGTGAGGCTGAGAGAAAGCAAGTACACAAGTGATTCAGTCAAAATCGGAATGCTCTAAATACACGCGAGAAGGGCAAAAGGGTGCTTTGTACAGGACAGAGCAGGTGGAGACTGAATCCGGTTGGGCCCTGGGAAAGCTCTCTGCCGTGGGTGGCATTTTGCTGGCCTTCGAAGGGTGGGGTGGGATTTCAGCAGGAGAGGGTGTGGGCATGTGTGGGCACGTTCTGCGCAGAGGGATCAGCACAAGCTGAGGGGCTAGGCCACACTAGCTGCATGTGCCTCTATGTTCAAGAGACACCCAGCAGAGGGTGGAGTCTGGAGCATCTCACCACCAGCCTTTAAAAAATGTTTACATTTACATTTTATTTTATTTTCATTTTAAGTTTTGGGATACATGTGCAGAACCTGCAGGTTTGTTACATAGGTGTACATGTGCCATGGTGGTTTGCTGCACCCATCCATCCGTCATCTAGGTTTTAAGCACTGCATGCATTAGGTTTTTGTCCTAATGCTCTCTCTCCCCTTGCCCCCTGCCCCCAACCCCAATCCCACCGACAGGCCCTGCGTCCATGTGTTCTCTTTGTTCAACTCCCACTTATGAGTGAGAACATACCTCCAGGCTTTAAGGGATAGTCATGGGGATGCATTGCAGTTCCTGAGCAGGGAGGGCCCTGTGGAGGCCCCTAGTTCAAAGGAAAGAATGGCTGTGAAAAGCGATGCATTGCACTCCTTGTCCCTCACCCTCAGTGTGAAGGGTGTTTATTCCGAGTTCTACCTGAAGTAGGTAGGCTTCATGGGAAGACAAGTAGCATGAGGGTTCAAGTGCCGAGGGGAGCAGGGGACACTGGGTGGCTGTGCCAAGGTGTGGAAGAGGACACTGGGGCCCCCAAGACCTGGCTTCATGTATACTGCTCAGGTTAATCCCCAGGTGACACAGTGACTGCCAGGAAGGGACCAGCCTGTTCTCGGTCTAATCCTCCACCTCCTCCTAGCAGGCTCGTGCGGGGTCTCCATGCCAGTGCTCACCCTGCCAGGCTGGGCTGGGGCTTCCGCCTGCTGCTCTGGGACTGCTGCTGCCCTGGCCCTGGGGGAGGAGGGTGGTGCTGCTGAGTCACTGCCTGGGCATCTGGGCCTGGAACCTCTGGGTGAGTCACCTAGGGCTGGGGTAGAGGGGCTGGGGGAGGGGAAGAAGCTGGGCCACAGGAAGGGCGGTGCCCGGATGCCCAGACTTGGGTTGGGATAGACAAAGGGCTAAGGAGGAAGGGGCCCTGGGAGGGGGAAGCCCTCCCTTGGGCTGGGCTCTGAATGGCCACAGTGTTGGCCTTTCTCCGGGTCTGGGGAGGACAAGTGTGTGGGGGTGGTGAGAAAGGGCTGCAGCTGGGGCCTCTGCTTCAGGCCTGGACTCTGGCTTGTGAAGCTGTCCAGCTGGTGTTTTCAGCCCTGGGCAGGGATGTTCCCCTGCCCACCCACTCAGCCCTCACGCTGGAGAAGAGGAGGCCAAAGTTTTCTTGTTCACCCTTTAACAACTGGAGACTTCCTTGCACTCCCCACAGACTGTGGCCCAGCCCAGCTGCGGCTGTGTGCCGAGCGACCCCATTGCTCACAGCCTCCCCATACTTGCAGGCCCGTCCCTAGGCAGAGGCAGCCTCCGTATTTCTCAGCACGGTAGTTACTTCATTACCTCATTAAGAGGTATTCTGGTGCTGGCCATTGCAAGTAACTCCACTTCGTCCATGCCCTGAAGTCAGTCCTGTCCTTCTCCTCCTTCTGTGGCCTCCAGCTTCCCGAGCGTGGCCCCAGGTTGCTTCTGTCTCACACACACAGGCACACGTATGCACACGAGCATGGGGCCATGAAGTCCCAGTGTGTGTCTGCAGCGTCTGGCTCAGGAGCCGGCTGTGACTCACACGCATGTCATGAGAACAAGGCCTGGCACCAGTTTCCAGGCCCCAGGGAAGGGGCTGCCACCCCTCAGCCCTGACCCAGGCTGCCCGGTCCCCATGACACCTCCCACTCCCACTGTGGCCAAGATGGGCTCAGGGGCTGCCCTTGGCCTGGCCTAGAGACCTCTGCCAGCTGGTGGTGGAGCTGGCACCCTCTGGGAGGGAGGGGGCTGGGAGGAAATGAGTGGGAATGGCGGGAGGCCAGGCTCTGGTGGGAGCAGGTTGAGGCAGGTTTGGCTTCCTAGGAATGCCAAGTTGGGGGCCAGTGGGCAAACATATAAATCCTCACCCTGGGAGCCTGCGCGCCTTGCTCTCCTTCCTGGGTTTCTCTCTGCCACCTGATCTGGTGAGTACCTGTGTCCTGCTGAGGACAGGGGCTGGAGGACCACCCTGGGTCTGTGTCTTTGTCTCCATTGTTCTCTCAATCCAGCTTCCCTGGTGGATCGACCCAGGCGTCTCTGGGCCTTCCACCTCAGAAGAAGCCTCTGTGAAGTGTTGACTGGAGGGTCTTTCTCCAGGTTCCTCTGTGAGGTCGCAGTGCAGGGGTTGCTCTGAGGCACTCCCCTGGATATCTCAGTCCAGGACCCTTCTTTGGGGATACATGTGGGTGGGGTTACAATAAGAATCTGGAGATGGTTTTGCTTGGCTTTTTGTCATTGCAAAGTCCTGGATTCTAATGGGACTAGGAGAAAGAGGCAGGGGTCTCAAGTGCGAGACTCTGCCTGGGTCACGGCCCCGAGCAGGGCAGCTCTGTGCCCTGCCTCGGTGAAGGGAGGGCTGGCAGGATGGGCCCAGGGCGTGCCTGCCTCTGGTATTGCTCCTCTGGCCTCGCCCCAAAACCTGCCAAAGCTTTCCAGGCTGGTCTGAGCATCCTCACAGGCCTTGCCGCTGAGGTCTGTCCCATCCCGGTCCGAAGGCACTGAACATTTCACTTCTTTAATCCTAATTCCAGCGGGATCCTTCCTGGTGGAGAGGATACCCAGGCCCCTGTCTGCATACAGGGGGCACCCCGTGGCTCAGGGGCCTTCAGGGTGAGGGGAGACACATTCCCCGCCCTCTGAGAGCCCTTAGTCTGAGAGAGGAGACACCCCTAGGGGAGCTTCCAGTTAGATGGCAGAGAGAGACACCTCTGGCTTCAGGAGCCCCGGAGTCTGAGGAGGGAAATGACTCCTTCCAGGGTCTTCCTGCTCAGAGCTGTAGCTATGGTGCCCCCCGGTCCGTGCATGTGGTCTGCTACCCAGTACCTGGGCAGATGCGGTCAAAATGGGACTCTGGTCACCCTGTCATTTTCCTTCTGGCAGACACTCAAGCGGGGAGCCCTGCCCTCAGAGGGGTGTCCCAAGTGCCATCAGAGGAGGCTTGGGGCCCTGCCATTGGTGACTCCCAGACACAAGGGAAGCGTTAGTGTCTGCCCTCAGGGTGAGGCGGAGGTATGCCTCCGCCCTCAGGGAAGAACAGTCTGAGGGAGAGATGCAGCCCCTGCCTTCCCATTCAGAGAGGGGCTTTCCGAGGTGGTTTGCAGGCATAGGGCAGAGGTGGATCCTGCAGGCTGAGCCAAGGCCCCAAGAGCCTCAGCAGGGTCCCCACCACCTAACACCTCTGTAGCCGCAGGTCCATGATGTGCAGTCCTCTGGAGCAGGCACTGGCTGTGCTGGTCACCACCTTCCACAAGTACTCCTGCCAGGAGGGCGACAAGTTCAAGCTCAGTAAGGGGGAGATGAAGGATCTTCTGCAGAAGGAGCTGCCCAGCTTTGTGGGGGTGAGTGGCGCGGGCCCATGGGGAGCTCCTGGTGTGAGTGTGGGGGTGCAGGTTAAATCTCTCCTCCAGTTCTGGGTGCCTACTGATAAAGATGCCAGGCTGGGGCCCAGCCCTCTCCCCACGTTTGCTTCATGGCCCCACTGGAGTGAGGCCTCAGTGGGAGCGCTTTATTTATTTATTTATTTAGAGATGGGGTTTTGCCATGTTGGACAGGCTGGTTTCGAACTCCTGACCTGAAGTGATCCACCTGCCTTGGCCTCCCAAAGTGCTGGGATTACAGGCGTGAGCCACCACGCTTGGCCTGAGTGCTTTATTTTTTATGTATTTTTATGTATTTTTATTTATTAATTTTGAGATGAAATTTCACTCTGTTGCCCAGGCAAGAAGTGCAATGGCGTGATCTCGACTCACCGCAACCGATTCTCCTGCCTCAGCCTCCAGAGTAGCTGGGATCACAGGCACGTGCCACCACACCTGGCTAATCTTGTATTTTTAGTAGAGATGGGGTTTTTCTATGTTGTTCAGGCTGGTCTCAAACTCCTGACCCCAGGTGATCCGCCCGCCTTGGCCTCCCAAAGTGCTGAGATTACAGGTGTGAGCCACCATGCCTGGCTGGGAGTGTTTTATTAATGGCTGTTTCCTCCAGCATTCCAGAGAACTGTGTGCTGTTAGGGCCTTCAGAGTCCATCTGTCTAATCCTGTCATTGGAGAGTTGAGACACCAGAGCCCAGAAAGGAAAAGGGATTGTCCCAGCATCACACAGCACTGGCACACTCTCTCTCTCTTTTCCTTCCTTTTTTTTGTGGGGGAGGAGACAAGATCTCACTCTGTCACCCAGGCTGGATTATAGCTCACTGTAACCTCAAACTCCTGGGCTCAAGCAATCCTCCCAAGTAGTTGGGACCACAGGCGAGTGCCACCATGCCTGGCCAATTTTTTAAAAGAAATTTTGTAGAGATGGAGTCTTGCTATGTTGCCCAGGCTGGGCTTGAACTCCTCCGATATGGGAGGGCTCAAGCAGTCCTTCCATCTTGGCCTCCCAAAGTATTGGAATTACAGATGTGAGCCACCGTGCTCACCGTGCCTTTTCCCATTTTTATATGCCAAACTAAGAAAGTGTGTAGGGCGAGAAAAGCCCAGCTGAAATATATAGTCTGGGACATTTTGTGGAGAAATGCAGTCAACCCTCAATGTGCCCCCCACCGTCCCTAGCCTGACTCATTGGTGTTCCCAAGGTTAGGTGTCACGCATTGAACGCATGAGGCAGGTCCTTCTTTCCTTTTTTTGTTTTGTTTTTGTGGTTGGTTAAACTTTTCTTTCTTTCTTTTTCTTTTTATTTTTTTGAGACAGAGCTTGTTCTGCTGCCAGGCGCCAGGCTGGAGTGCAGTGGTGTAATCTTTGGTCACTGCAATTTCTGCCTTCTGGGTTCAAGCAATTCTCCTGCCTCAGCCTCCTGAGTAGCTGGGACTACAGGCGCATGCCACCACACCCAGCTAATTTTCTTTTGTATTTTTTAGTAGAGATTCGGTTTCACCATGTTGGCCAGTATTGACCTCGTGATCTGACCGCCTTAGCCTCCCAAAGTGCTGGGATTACAGGCGTGAGCCACTGTGCCTGGAGGTTAAACTTTTCTAATTATTTTGGCTAGTATTAAAAAAGTGGTTTTCAGCTGGGCACGGTGTCCCATGCCTGTAATCCCCATACTCGGGGAAGCTAAGGCAGGAGGATCTCTTAAGCCCAGGAGTTCGACTAACCTGGGCAACATAGTAAGACTTCATCTCTACAAAAATAAAAATAAAAATTGGCCAGGAACAGTGGCATACACCTGTAGTCCCAGCTACTTGGGAGGATTGCTTGAGCCCAGGAGTTCGAGGTTACAGTGAGCTGTGATCCAGCCTGGGTGACAGAGTGATATCACTCTGGTTGCCAAGACCAGTGTAGGCAACATAACGAGACCTTGTCTCTACTAAAAATAAACAATTAGCCGGGCGTGGTGGCATGAGCCTGTGGTCCCAGCTACTCGGGAGGCCGAGGTGGGAGGATTGCTTGAGCCAGGAGGTTGAGGCTGCAGTGAGTTGTGATGGTGCCACTGCACTCCAGCCTGGGCAACAGAGCAAGACCTTGTCTTAAAAAATAAAGTGTTCTTCTTTTCTGAATCCACCTGGCTGGTGTTGGGGAGCAGCAGTCTTCAGTTTCCTCATCAACAGAATGGGGCGATGATACCTTATCTCGCTGGGCTCCTGTGGGATTTGAGCTGATGTATGCTCAGAGGAGCGCTGAGCATCTTCCTTGTGTCCAGGAGGAGGGCACGCTGGAGGTGCTCGCCAATGAGCATCCATTTCTCCTTACTTACTGGGTCCTCTCAGTAGCTCCCAGGGCCTCCTGCTCACCATGTACCCAGCTGCCCAGTGGGGAGGAAGAGCTGGGAACCAACTGGAGTGTGTGTGGGGTCTGGGTGTTTGGTGGAGCTGGAGTTGGGGGCTGGCTTGGTGATGAGCGTATTTCCTGTCACTTTCAGGAGAAGGTGGATGAGGAGAGGCTGAAGAAGCTGATGGGCAACCTGGATGAGAACAGTGACCAGCAGGTGGACTTCCAGGAGTATGCTGTTTTTCTGGCCCTCGTCACTGTCATGTGCAATGAATTCTTCCAGGGCTGCCCAGACCGACCCTGAAGCAGAACTCTTGACTCCCTGCCGTGGATCTCTTGAGCCCAGGATGCTCGATGCCTTTGAGTTTTGTATTCAATAAACTTATTTTTTAATCTGTCGATAATATTTTAACAGCTCGGCGATGTTCTATAACCTGGCTGGTTGAGCCGGAGTGCTGGAAAATGAGGGCCTCATTTCTGGGCTCTGACTCTCCTGGAAATCTCTCCAAGGCCAGAGCTGTGCTTTAGGTCTCAATTTTGGGATTTCAAATACTAGCAAAAATTTGGAAATCAAGATAGGTTGCTGACTTTTATTTTGTCAAATAAAAATATGAAAAAGCAAATACCATCTTCCATCACTATCGTTTCATAAAAAAGGAAAATTTCAGTTCCAATAAAGGAGGAAAGGTATAATCTCAGAATAAAGGACAGATCTTTTTTTTTTTTTGAGACAGAGTTTCATTCTTGTTACCCAGGCTGGAGTGCAATGGCGCGATCTCGGCTCACCGCAACCTCCACCTCCTGGGTTCAGGCAATTCTGCTGCCTCAGCCTCCTGAGTAGCTGGGATTACAGGCATGCGCCACCATGCCCAGCTAATTTTTTTGTATTTTTAGTAGAGACGGGGTTTTACCATGTTGACCAGGATGGTCTCGATCTCTTGACCTTGTGATCTGCCCGCCTCGGCCTCCCAAAGTGCTGGGATTACAGGCGTGAGCCACAGTGCTCGCAAGGACAGATCTTAACATTCAATACGGTAAGGAATGAGTTGTACCAGGATCTGTTCCAGAGATATGAATTAGTCTAATCAACCCCACAAAGCTTTATTTAAAGGATTTCTTGTCAGACCAAGTATGGTGGCTCATGCTGTAATCCCAGCACTTTGGGAGGCTGAGGCAGGCAGATCCCTTGAGGCCGGAGTTCGAGACCAGCCTGGCCAACAGGGTGAAACCCTGTCTCTGCCAAAAAAAAAAAAAAAAAAAAATTAGCTGGGTGTGGTGGCACATGCCTGTAGTCCTAGCTACTCAGGAGGCTGAGGCAGGAGAATCACTTGAACCTGGGAGATGGAGGTTGCAAGATCAGGCCACTGCAATCCAGCTTGGGCAACAGAGCAAGGCTTTTTCTCAAATAAAAAGAAGGATTCATTGCCAGAACACAGGCCATAGGCAGTGCTAAGGTTTGAATGTGTTCCCCAGAGTTCATGTGACAGAAACTTTATCTCCAAAGCAGCAATATTTAACAGGTAATTAGGCCACAAGGGATTAATGCTGCTGTCATCAGAGTGGGTTACTTACAGAAGGATGAGGTTGTCCCCCACCTTTTCTCTCTCTCCCTCTCTTTGCCCTTCCACCATGAGATGATGGAGCAAGAAGGCGTTCTTCAGGTGCTACTCCCTCCAGCTTAGATTTCCTGGCCTCCAGAATTGTGAGCCAATAAATCTCTGTTTTGTTTTGACTACCAGTCTGTGGTATTCTGTTGTGGCAATACAAAATGGGCTAGACAGGCAGTACACCTGTTTTCAGAAAACAAGGGTATTGTCTACCCAATGCATTCTATATTGTATTTAATATTCTAGTATTGTAGGCCCAGCGCGGTGGCTCACGCCTGTAATCCAAGCACTTTGGAGGCCAAGGCGGGCCGATCACCTGAGGTTGGGAGCTCAAGACCAGCCTGACCAACATGGTGAAACCCCGTCTTCAAAAGAAAAAATTCTAGTATCGTATATTCTATATTGTATACAGTATTGTACTATATTGCTTTTAATATCTGCTTTTAGATTGGCTAGCTCTTCTATTGGGCTCTGCTAAAAGCCACTAGGAGCCAGCTAATGTCAACATTCTAAGTTTTTCCTACTGTTTCCCCTAAAACTGTAGGCTAGGTTGTCATATATTCTGTATTTTAAGGTACATCGGAGGACAGTTTGACCAGGTGCTTTGCCATCTCATGGCAAGGATTGCCAACATTCCAGCTTGCAAAGATTAGGTCCTCATATTTTATCCTTTCTTTTTTTTTTTTTTTGAGACGGAGTTTTGCCGTTGTTACCCAGGCTGGAGTGCAATGGCATGATCTCGGCTCACTGCAATCTCCGCCACCTGGGTTCAGGCAATTCTCCTGCCTCAGCCTCCTGAGTAGCTGGGACTACAGGCGCGCACCACCATGCCCAGCTAATTTTTGTATTTTTAGTAGAGATGGGGTTTCTACCAGGATGGTCTTGCTCTCTTGACCTCATGATCCACCCGCCTCGGCCTCCCAAAGTGCTGGGATTACAGGTGTGAGCCACCGCGCCCAGCCGTTTTATCCTTTCTTATCTTCATTTAATCCCACATTTTAGGTTATTTACTTGGTGGGTACCACTTCCAGTTATCACATTCTCTATCAGTTGGGAATGTATTCAGTTTAGGTTACAGAAAACCTGACTAATAGTGACTTAAATAAATTGTCTCAATGTATTTGAGTTTAAATCCTTCATACAAAAAAAAGTGTAAAGTAGGCAAGGCAGTCCTGGTTGGGTGACTCACAGACGTTGTGCTGGTGCATCACAAATCACCCCAACGTGTGGTGTCATAAAACGTGACTTTATGGGCCAGGCACAGTGGCTCACGTCTGTAATCCAAGCACTTTGGGAGGCTGAGGTGGGCGGATCACTTGAGGTCAGGAGTCGAGACCAGCCTGGCCAATAAGGTGAAATCTGTCTCTATTAAGAATACAAAAATTGGCCAGGTGTGGTGGCGTACACCTGTAATCCCTGCTACTCAGGAGGCTGAGGCAGGAGAATTGCTTAAACTCGGTCAGCTGAGATGGCACCACTGCACTCCAGCCTGGGTGACAGAGAGAGACTCCGTTTCAAAAAACAAACAGAAAAACACAACAACACAAAAAGAAGAGCCCAAATTTATTATCTCTCATGGTTCTGTGGGTAGTCTGGACTTGGTGGTTCTCACGTGGGGTCTTCCATGCAGCTGTAGATGGAAATTGCAGCTAGAATAATCTGAATGTTTGAACAAACTCAACATTTATGGTAGCTTGCTTAACATGCGTGGTAACTGATACTGGAGGTTAGCTGGGAGCTCAGCTGGAGTGCTTACCATGGCCTCTCTATGTGGCTTGGTCTTCTTAGAGCGTGGCAGCAGGGTCCTGAGAGGTCAAATCCCAAAGTGAGCATTGCGTGAGGCCCACATGGAAGCTGGTAGGCTTCTTAAGATTTGTTTTAATTCTAATCAAATTTATTAATTTTTTTCTTTTTTGAGATGGAGTTTCACTCCTGTTGCCCAGGCTGGAGTGCAGTGGCGCGATCTCGGCTCACTGCTACCTCCGCCTCCTGGGTTCAAGCCATTCTCTTGCCTCAGCCTGCTGAGTAGCCGGGATTATAGGCACACACCACCACGCCTAGCTAATTTTTATATATTTTTTAAGTAGAGACAGGGTTTCACCATGCTGCCCAGGCTGGTCTCGAATTCCTGGACTCAAGAGTCCCACCTGCCTTGGTCTCCCAAAGTGCTGGGATTACAGGCATCAGACACTGTGCCTGGCACTGTTTTTTTTTTTTCAGATGGAGTCTTGATTAGTTGCTCAGGAGTGCAGTGGTGCGATCTTGGCTCACTGCAACCTCAAGCAATTCTCCCTCCTCAGCCTCCCGAGTAGCTGGAACTATAGGTGTGCACCACCATGCCCGGCTAATTTTTGTAGCTTTAGTAGAGACGGGGTTTCACCATGTTAGTCAGGCTGTTCTCGAACTCCTGACCTTGTGATCTGCCTCCCAAAGTGCTGGAATTACAGGCGTGAGCCACTGCACCTGGCTACTTCTTAAGATTTAATTCAGAAATCCCAGGACATCATTTCTGCTGTATTCTAATGATAAAAAAGAAGTCATTAAGTCTGGCTGAGATTAAGGGGAGGAGAATGAGACATCTCTTAATTCCATACATTAAGAGATTCTTAATGTCTAATTCTTACCAGCAGCATCCAAAAAATTGACGGTGACCATCTCTGGAGACTAAATACCATAGTCTGTCTTCTAGCAACTGAAATTCACATCCCTTCCATATCCAAAATACACTCATCTCCTTCCCATGACCCACAAAGTCTCATCTCATTAAGGCATCAATTTGAAGTCTTCGATTGTATTATCTGAGACAGGCCCAGAGATACGAACAAGGCCTCTCATGTGCAGTTCCTCCAGGACAGCTCCTCAAAAGCGGTTCCTCTTGGCCTGAAGCCCTGTGAAGAACACAGTTGATGTTCACAGGTGAGATGAAGGTAGATAACTGCCATCCAGGCTTGTTGGCTCACGCTTGTAATCCCGGCACTTTGGGAAGCCGAAGTGGGTGGATCACTTGAGGTCAGGAGTTCAAGACCAGCCTTGCCAATATGGCAGAACTGTCTCTACTAAAAATACAAAACTTAGCTTGGCATGGTGGTGCATGCCTGTAATCTCAGCTACTTGGGAGGCTGGGGCAGGAGAATCACTTGAACCTGGGAGGCAGAGATTGCAGTGAGATGAGATCACACCACTGAACTCCAGCCTGGGTGACAGAGTGAGACTCTGTTCAACAAACAAACAAACAAAAATACAACAGCCATAAACACTCCTTTTCTAAAGAGGGTTGTGTTGTGGTGTATTGGAGGCATAGATTGGTGCATTGGGTCCACAGCAATTCTGAAATTGAGTCATATACGTGTCACCAGATTCTTGACTAGGGCCCAGTTCTGCTCTCTATAAATGGTTCTTGGCTCTTGGCTTCTACGTTCTTGACTTCATTTTCTGAGTTAAATCTCTATTTTCCATAAGAAGTATCTGTGCTGACTGGGCATGGTGGCTTATGCCTGTAATCCCAGCACTTTGGGAGGCCGAGGTGGGTGGATCACTTAAGGTTGGGAGTTCAAGACCAGCTTGACCAACATGTAGAAACCCCGTCTCTACTAAAAATACAAAATTAGCCGGGTGTGGTGGCGTGTGCCTGTAATCCCAGCTACTTGGGAGTCTGAGGCAGGAGAATCTCTTGAACCCAGGAGGCAGAGCTTGTGGTGAGCCGAGATTGTGCCACTGCACTTCAGCCTGGGCAACAAGAGCAAAACTCCATCTCAAAAAAAAAAAAAGTTGCATTGATAGCTAAGT